TTTTCTGATTAGACATTTCTTGTCTGTCGTCTCAGGAAATGCAGAACTTGCTGAGACCCCACTACTTCTATGACTTATCTTATGATGAAGTTGTCCCAGCTGCGACCAACGTCTTGCTGTTGGCTGATGCAGTCTTCCCGTACCAGCGTCGCAGGAGTGATGAAGTTGGGAGCAGCCAGCAAGTTTTCGGAGATTCGGGGCATCCACACTATGGAGTTTGCTGCCGGTGTTGTCAGCAGCTTCTAGAGGGAATTCAATGATATGGTAGATGATTATCGAAAAGCAAAGAAAGCCAGTGATGGCAAGGCAAGCCTCCTCAGCAAGGACAGGACCAGGCCGCTGCAGTTTATCCCACACATCCACTCTCTGAGCGCGGCTTGCTGTCCAGCAAGCTCTGTGCCCCCAGAAGCTGCTCAGCTGGTCTCGGTGGTTTCAGACAGTGTACCCTTTCATCGTCAATACCTCTGAGAAGGTGGCCGACTTTCGCAGAGAGCGCTTGTTCAAGATGAATGTGCCACAGCCGCCTAGCGCCAAGGTTTTCGCGGAGAAGTTGCAGAAGGCGGTCTGTGAGTTGCGTGGGGCGCGCGGTAATCATAGCCGACGTATGATGTGATATATATACATACATGCGTACATACGTACATACATATATATATATATATATCAGCCGGCTTTAGCCGCGACACTCTAAAATCAAGGAGGCCTAAGGGCTTGGAATGAAGGGTGCGCCGTTAGGCTGCGCCTACGCTGATCGATCCTCCGAACACATTCCTGTACAAGCACTTTGCCTACGATCCGACGACAGCAGATGCTGAGTGCGATCTTTTCCTCTTAGTGCTTGTTGGTTTTGTGGTTGTAGGCCACGGAGCATGGGCCAAGGTGAAGTATGCTGAGGACGATGAGAATTTCATGCTTGCAGCCAACCGGTTGCAAATGTTTTTTGCCAGATGTGCCATTTGATGTGTTGCGGGACGCCGTCCCCAAAGCTGAGGGGCCGGCTGCGAGCTTGAACCAGCCACATGCAGACACTGTTTGTGGGGCCATGGTGAACCTGCTGCAAGGCTGCCCGGTGAGCATTGACTCGCGCTGCCAAACGCCCATGACCTGACAGTCCATGCCGACATCCCTGCAACCTCTGCGCAGCCAGAGTTCAGTGAAGAGCCTGGCAAATGACCCACCTGTGGGTCGGAAAGTGAGGAGGAAGCGCCTGCTAAGAAGTTGCGACAAAAATAGGGTTCCGCAGCTGCAAGAGCGCAGGGAAGCTATGACCGAAACTTTGTCCTGGGTGTTGAAGCAGAAGAACCACAGCTTGCCACAATGGCGCGTGAATGAGAAGGCTTAAGAATTTTGCTGCAAAAGTGACGAAACTCTTGGTCGCTTGCACTTTGGCGGGGGAGACGTGTGGCAGTTGCGATCTGGTGAGACTGCCGGATGAGCACCTTGTGTCAGTGTCCAAGGGCCTGCAGGAAGTTGTGCAGAAGGTCAAAGAGAACGGCCATGGAAGTGTATGAGGACCATGGAAGTGTGTAGGAAGTTGTGCGCGGGGCGTGGGAGAAAGCTGTATACTGCTGTATACTGCGGGACATGGGAGAAAGTGTTTGCGGAGTTTGGAAACAGTTCTTGCGGATTCTGTTCTGGGCGGAGATTCGGATGTTGCATCTCGGATCTCGAATCTCAGAGCTTGGACGTCGGATCTCGGACCCTCAGATCTCGGATCTTGAACCTCTCCCAAATTGGAATCTCCAATCGGAGGCCTCCGATCTCGGACGTTTCATCTCGGATCTGGAATCTCGGATCTGGGTCTGGGCTTTTTGCCCATATCTGAATTCTCGAACCTCGATGGATTTTGATAATCGCAGACCTCGGGTCTTGGGTCTCGGATCTCGGGTCTCGGATCTCGGATCTCGGGTCTCGGATCTCGGATCTCGGACCTTGGACGTCGGAACTCGAATCTTGGACCTCGGATCTCAGACCTTGGACCTCAGCTCACAATACCAGCACCGGCGCCCGGCACCCAGCATGTCTTTTTTGAATGATTATGTAAAAAATACGTTTCCATTGACTTAATTTTGAATTTGACTTTGACTTTTCCAACTGAACTTTTTACACTGATTTATATGGACTTGACTTTTGAAAGCAGGCTGTCCTGGCCAACATATATTTTAACAGAGCGGGTGCTCCTGGGAGATGTTTTTCATGCAAAAATGATGCAAAAACACGATGTTTTACAGTGATTTCTTGCAAAATCATCTCAAACAACCAATAAACCACAAAACCAAAACAAGCAAAACAACAAAAAACCAATGTTTGAGACAAAATGCAGCCAACGTCCAAAAACCAATAGTGCACCCATTTTGTCTCAAACATTTTTTTTGGGGAGTTTTTTTGTTTATGTTTTTTTTTTTGTTTTTTGTGTTTTAGTATTCTCTCTAAACTGGGATAGGCTTGGATCTCACAAAACTGATCAAAAATAGCTCAAAACCTCAATTTTGGAGATGATTTGCAAGAAATCACTGTAAAACACAGTGTTTTTGCTTCATTTAAGTTTAACGGTGGAATTTGATTTTAAAAATTGGATTTCAATTGATTTTGGTAGTAGACTTCAATTAAACCGCTTTCAGAATTATTGGTGGAAGTTGATTTCTTATCAGCTTTCTATTGAAATTGTTTACGATTAATTGTGGATTTTTTACAAGCTAAGTTTCATTTACGTGATTTTCAAAATCCTTGGGGAAATTGATTTTTATTTTTGATTTCGATTAACATTTCTTCAAGATTAATTATAGAAAAATGCATGTGTAATTCAACTTCGATTAAATTCCTTTTCAAGATCATTGTGGCAATTGATTTTAAATTAGATTTCAATTAAAACCCTATGATATTTCATTGTAGAAATTAGTCATTACTTAAATGTCAATTAAAGTCCTTTTCAAAATCATTGTGGAAAATGCTTGTTGTTTAGATTTTACTTTAATTTCTTGTCAACATAATTTGATTGAATTGCTTGTGTACTGGATATCAATCAAGACCCTTTTAGACTTGATTGTGGAAATTAGTTTTCAGTAAACAGTTAATGGTGGACATCAAATCTTATAATTAGATGTTAGTTAAGTCCTTCTATTTGATGTTGCCTTGTAGTGGGGAGCAAACAGATACAAAACCAATTCAAGTTAGTTAAGCATCACCATTTCCACAAGTAATCTTAAATCGATTTTAAACACAATCTGATATTAGATCAAAGCCACCACGAACTTTGAAAAGGACTTTAACTAAAATCTAATTGTAAGAACTAGTTTCCACAATGAGTTTTAAAGAGAACTTGGAAAGGATTTTTATTGCAATCTAATTTCTAATAAATAGCAATTTCGACAATCAATGTTAAAAGGATCTTGATTGACATCTTCTAGTTTAAGTTTACCTAATTCTGTTTTAATTCTTGTTTAGTTAGTTTAAGAAAACACATGTTACAAAACACCATATATTTTACAGTGTTTTTTGCCCTAGGAGTGCTGGGAATAAGACCAAAAACATGTTTTTGAGTAGATAGTATTTGTTTAAAGTAATCCCTTGGAATAATAATTGCTATATTAACACTGCTTTATGTACAAGCTTCTAATTCAAAAGGTTCCCTCTAGATCTGATCACTTCAGTGAAAAAAATATACAGCTTTCATTTCAAAAGCTTTCCTCTGGATCTCTGGGAATAGGCATGGTATTTAAAAAACTATAAGTATGTATGCAAGTGTTTCTTTCAACAGCTTTCCTTCAATGACAATACAAAACTCTAGGAAATCTACTTTGCCAGAGATCCAGAGGAAAGCTATTGAATCTAGAGATGTATAGTATTATATCTTCATTCGCTCATGATGCTACATTCATTGTGGGCAGAGAGAGATTTACCTGATAATATTTATCATTGGTGTTGCACATTGATAGTGGGCAGACGAAGAGCTGTTATTTGTTGTCATTGACATTGGACATGGAGACTGGGCACAGACAGATCAAAAAATTGCGTTTCGCCCAGTTCTCAGAGCAGTTTTTGAACATTTGCACGGTATTTACAATGTTTTCTAAGGGTTTTGAGCTAGTGTGTGCTCTCCCAAGCACACCCACCCTCTATTTTAATATAATGTCATCCAAGTTAAGATATGTATTTTTATATACATACACGTACCGCATTTCATGAGTATATTGTGTTCATTGCGGGTGTAGCTTCTCCTTCGGAGGCTTATCTCCTAGTTTGCTCTTCACATGGTTTAGTGAAGCACAGATGTCACTCAATCTCAAGCATTTCCAACCATGGACTTCTTGGATGTACTTGACTTTGCTTGCATTTGGTGAAGAAAAAAGAGGTCTGGCATGCAGCAGGTGGGTTTGAAACTGCATTGGTACGGTCAAACCTATTTATGAATTTCATGGTTCCTTTTCTGGCTCCAGCCTTCTAAAGAGTTCCTTCGGGCTTCACAAGGTTTCCGTTGCTTTCTTCCAGATCCACATCTGTCGACCAGATCTTTTTTCAAGTAAAGCAGGCAGCAAGTGTCGGCGCCAACGGACAATCCTTTGCGAATCGAAGCTCGGAGGAGGTGCGGCGTGTGCAGCGGACCCACGCCCTGCCATCGGGTGTGACGCTGACCATCATCGATTCCCAACCAGCGAGCAAGGCCGAGTCTGTGAATCCTGACCAAAGCTGTAGGAGCATCTCACAAGTCTCATAATCATAAGGGTTTCCATTTGTCCTGAATTTCTTTCGAGGGACGACCTCTCACCGCTCACTGCGAGGCTGGCGCGGACCGCTCCTACGCACGGAATGTCGCTCTCTGGGAGTCGCTTCCGCGTGGGCACGCGGAGGTGCGGCAAGGCGAGGTGCTGGTGGCTCGGTAGCGAAGCAAAGCAAAGCAAAACCTTTTTTTTCTTGCATTTTTTGTGACTTTCTATTGAAGGCGTTCGGAATTTGGGAAAAGAAAAAGGACCTCGGATAGTATAGTTTTTAGTTCTAGATAGATGACAAGACAAGATCAGAAGGCTTTGCGTTTCCAAAATCGAATCGGCCCACCTCAGAGTGGAGAGGAACTCGTGCCACTTCTTTCTCGGCGCTTGGAGGTCTGCGAGCTTTCAGGCCTGCGGAAGTTCGGCAGCGCCGAGGAGAAGTTCGGCCCGTTGGCACGGGAGGCGCAGGGCGCGCGGCGCTGTGCGCTGCAAGCTCTGCCCAGTTGCCGAGTTGCGGCCTAGCAAAGCGGTGTTATTTTTCATTTTGGTAGGCATTCCATGCAATCGCCTTCACTACTCAAGCTTAACGGTTTGGTTGGGACGTCATGCTCACGTTTGTATGGACCTCGCTGACTCATCGGCACGCCGCCGAGGTTCTATGTCTGCCATGAGCGACCCTGGCCAGTTAGTGATGGTGTTCCTCACAAAGGAGATACTTGTTCTCCAAGATCTTTTGATCATGGACCTTTCAACTTTCAATAGATTTGCCGTTGCCACCCAATAGTTAAAGGTGGATCATATATCCCCTCTAGCATATGACTGATGTCTTTGTTTTACAGGGTTGCATACCACGCTGTGATTGTTCTATGAGTATTGTAAAAGGGCATTCTGTTTACATTATCCGTTTTGGCTTGATGAGTTGTTTTGACCCTGGTGGCCGCAGGCAGTTTGTCTCGACAAACTAAAGGGTCCAACCAGTTTGTCTTCCTGCAGCCCCAGAGATTGGACTTCGCAAGACCGCCACGGTGGGGACAGCCTAACTGGGCAATGACGTTCTGCACTGAGGAACGGAGAGATGTGCAAAGTGTCCTTCTTCCAGCTTGGTGGGGATCCTTACTTGGCTCTGGGATCCAAAAACGTGACGCTGGTGATCAATGTGGCCAATAAGAAGAAAGCCTTGGCGGACCTGGCAGCTTATGAGGAAGAAAGATACCAGTTTGCGGTGGAAATGGCCGAAGTCTTTCTTGAAGCTCAGCCCAGCTCAGCTTGTGCAAGGTAAATGTGGTTCCAAAGTGTTCTGAAAATCTGACTTACCGGACTCAGCAAGAGACCTTCCTACCAAGTTACTAAGGTATTACTCCCACACCTCCCCTGCGGTTCTGTAATATGACTCGCAGCGTTTTTCTTTTTTGTCGCACCTCGTCAGTTTTTGGTCTTGTGGATCTTTTTCATACATGTTGAGTGCTGACAAGCGTTTCTGTGCAAATTTTAGCGTTGTAGTTGCACAAACCTGGAGGCTACAGAGTGATTTCAACAATTGACAGCAGAGCATCACAAAACCTGTATATACTGTAGACTCTAGACTAATGAGATCCAATAATTAATGACGTATATCATATCATCATATCCAAGTTTGGACCTTCATTGATCCAACCACTCACGCTTGTATGACGCACATCCCCCCCAAATTGGAAGAGTCGCAGTCGCTTAAACAAGGTACGTTCGCCTTGTCTGACGGTCAGCATGGCTGTGAGGGGGAAGGGCACCCCATTCCAACCCGATTCACCGCATTTACGGGTATCCACCGTGAGCACCCCTTGTGGCCACACCTCTTGGTTGGTTGAGGCCGCTGCTTAGCCTGTTTGGTTGGGTGTGTGGGTCGGTGGGTCCTCGGTGGGTGCTCGGTGGGTCCTCGGTGAGCTCGGGTGGGTTTGGAGACTGAGCTCGGTTTGCGTTTTGAGGATCAACTCTTCGATGAGCTCAGTGAAAATCAGAGGAAGCAACTCATCAGCTTTGTGACCGAGAAAGGAGCCACGCTCTGTGGGGAGTCGATCTCCCCGATGCATCAACATATTCAAAGCTATCGAGATGGGCATGGAAAGATCCAGGCCAGTCCAGGGATGAGAAAGATTACTGGACACTCTTGACGACCATGCGGAAGCAGGTAAGCATGTGTGAGACTCTCTTGGTTGCTCCATGTTGCGCCCATAGAGGCATTCCAGAAGGGCCCGGGCCCCAAATTGACGACCTCCTGCGTGAGGCCCACATCCGGTTCTTCTCAGTGACATCTCCGAAGCTTGGCCTCACGAGCATGCTCACCTGTAGGAGATCATGTCCTTGCCCGTGCCTCCCAAAATGTAGTGTTTGGCCTTGAGAAGGACCTAGTATGCCATTGACAAAATACCCTTGAAAAAGGCAACTCCTGGAGAAGGGCAAGTGCGTGGCACATAAGTGCGTGGCACATGAGAAAGGGCTTCGGCTTAGCCATAAGATGCAATGCAATCTTTTGCCCTTGGCCAAAGGGTCCTTAGACTAGGCATCCCTTGAGAAGGGAAAAGGTGCACCCCTTGCAAAAAGGGCAAAATGACTGTGTTGAGAAGTGGTGAAAGGGAAGAGTGCATCCATTGAAACGGGGAAAGGTTCATCCCTAGCAACAGGAGAAGGTACGTCCCACTCGATACAGGCAAAGGTCTGGACCTTGAAAAGTGACAAGGTGTGTGCGTTCCATGGAAAAGGGAAAGGTGCCCCTCAAGCTTCTTTGCCTAGAGGGAAAGGGCAGGGTGCATCGCTTGAAAAAAGGGAAAGTTGCACTCCATGAGAGGAAAAGGTTCATCCTGAAAAAATGGACAGGTGTCTTCTTTGCCTGGAAAGAGGGAAAGGGAAGGGAGCATCGCTTGAAAAAGGAAAGCTGCATCCCGTAAAAAGGGAACGGGGCGTTTGTTCAACAAGGGACAGGTGGATGAATCCAAAACAGGGAAGTGCATCCTTTGAAGAGGGAAAGGTGCGTGTAGTGAGAAACGGAAGGCACGTCTCTTGAAAGAGGGAAACGGGCTAAAGTGCAACCTTTTCTTCCCTTTTTTCAAGAGCAAGGTGCTCTCCTTTTTTTTGGTTCCCTGGAAGAAGGAAGGTGCCTTTGGTGCCTTCTCTGAAGGGGTTCCGGTTTCCATGCGAGGGCAGCATCCTGCAGCGGCTTAACTTTGTTGGACCCAGTGGAGGCCGCTCAGCACTTCCGGGCATGGGGCCTTCATGCTGTGGAGGCGATTGATGAGGCGAGGGAGTCGCTTCGGAACGCAGAAAATAGTTCGCTTCGGAACGTGGGAACGGTATCGCTTCGGAACGCGTGTCAGAGCTAGTTAGTAGGTTGGAGGCCATCGCTACGACGCAACCCACCCCACCCCCCTGAAAAGTAGAGCCTACCTGTACAGGGTTCCACTCCAACAGCTGATATAGTGTGTCCATGCTTGACTGCTTCAAGGCTCAAAGAGCAAGAGGATAAGACTCTGCGCATAAAAGACACTAGCGGTCTGCACCTCTACCGTGTACGCCCTAGTCACTCTTTCACCCCCACCCCCC